TTCCTATATCACCAAACTAACCAAACATTTCACACAGTGTTTGCTTACTTGTGGTGTAATGAGGATATGCCGATACCAGATCCACGATTGTTCTCTATATCTAAAATCTGCCCTTGACTATCTAAAGGATATAAATACTTCATTTCATTTCTGAATCTGTTTTTAGGTTAGTTAGTCGTCGTTTGGCCGGAAAGAGGAGGAAACGTTAAAAACGACAGTCACTTACATTCTAAAAAATCCATGGCGTTCTAGTGGCATTCTGACGACAACCTGGCGTTCGTAGGTAGATTAAAAACTTTAAATGAAAACGAAAACTTCAAAACACTTAGAAGCACCGACGCAGCTGCAAACGTAACCACAAAGTTGATGACCGGCGCCGGTGCCCGTGTTTACAATGACGTTTTGGTCGCTAGTGTCGCGAGCTCCCGAGAGATGGCGCACTGCAATCACGTCTGAACGACACTATCTCAAGAACACGCCAAGGTAGACGATGGTGTGGACATCCATCATGTCCATGGTTACGTCGTTGGCCATGGTCCGTCGAGTACAGAGTATCATGGCTGCGGAGATGGGCATGGGTGATCACCATGGTTTAGACTGAGTCCATGAATAAAATTCTGATTTTCCATGGTCAAAATCTCAATTTGACCATGACAGTCATGGTTTTTTAGCCCGCCCTTCTGCTTTGAAAAAGCTATCCAGCGGGCTTATGCAAACGACCTCGTGTCTGTCTGTCTGTCTGTCTGTCTGTGTGTCTGTGTGTCTGTCTGTTCCACTAGAAGGAGATGTGCTAGAGACTTCAAATTTTCAGGGTATCTTAAGGTTCACTCCTAGAAAACGAAACGCCTACGGCAAATCCTGGCAACCAACCCCAAGGGGCTGAAAGGGGGTATCAAAGAAAAGGGGGTAGGTCAAAAAAGTCAGAAAAAAATATTTTTTTTATGAGCTCCTAAGGGGTAACTCGTCAAAGTAGAGCCCCATGGGCGAAAATTTCGTCCGTTTTGCTCTATCTCTCGCCGTTTAGGCGCTAGAGGGAGTTTCTATCACGAAAGTGGCCCAAAAATAAACAAATTAATTTTAGAAAATTTTAGATGGTCTCCTACGGGGTAACTTGCAAAAATAGAGCCCCTTGGGCGAAAATTTCGTCCGTTTTGCTTTTTCTTTTACCGTTTGGGCGCTAGAGGGAGTTTCTCTCACAAAAGTGGCCCAATTTTTCTTTTATTAATTTCCGAAAATGTTGAATGGTCTCCTAAGGGGTAACTTGACAAAGTAGAGCCCTTTGGGCGAAAATTTCGTCCGTTTGGCTCTATCTCTAACCGTTTAGGCGCTAGAGGGTCTTGTTTGACGAAAATAAGTTAAAAATTTCTGTAGTGAACAATTAAATGTAAAAGAAGGCCCAGAACCGCAAAAGAGGTAAGAAACTCCCTCCCCCCACCCCAAAAAACGTTTTCTAAGCAGAAGGGTGGGTTGTAGTCGCGGTGTTTCACCGTTACATCTTTTTCTCGAGTCTTTGGGGCAAACTCAAAGACGACGGGCTTAGGCGGGCCGAAGGCCCGCTGCATTCGAACGTGTTCTTCAGCAAATCGTGTGACAGAAATGGTCGGGCCGCAGGCCCGACCATCGCCGCCGGCAGGCCAAGCAGGCAAGGCCCCTGCCGAACGGAGTTGCCGGCGCAGCGAAGCGAAGCTGGCAACTTCGTTTGGCGGAAGGGCGGGCCTGCTTGTTTACCCTGGGACTCTCTGAGCATTGGGTATATTCAGGGTTATAGCTGGCTATAGGCTGCCAGCCTATCTTAGGGTGCTACCAAGTGATGGAATTAATGCTTTTGTATTGGGTTCTGAAAAGAAGAGCAAAAATTACCCAGTGGCTTTATTTTACTACTCGCTTGTCCCTACTGCAAAGCACGCAACTCCACGGAGCCTCCGTCAAAGCACGCACAGTGGTCCGGGCGCTGGCGAAACCACGCAAAGTTCTTAGGCGCTGGCTGGCAAAACCACGTATCGATGTTTTTAGAAAATTTTGAGATAACCATATATTTTGGCAGAAGAGGGAAACGCCCTCTTTCCAATGGTATAGGTCTCAAAAATCACCCCAAAATCGAGTTTCGTGGTTTCGCCAGCGCCGGAGCGCCGTGCGTGCTTTGCAATAGGGACAAGCGTATTGTGAGTAACACAAACCATCTCACCCAGTCATTTCCAGTGCTGTTGCACGGGTTATTGAGTATAGTACTCGGTAATTGTTCAGTAGTCATTGGAGTGATAGACCTCCCCCGTATTTTTAGCCACATGGTCTGAGCAGTACTATTGAACGATTATGTTGCATCATTCACTCTGCATTTCTTTTTCATGACTGCTATATTTATGAATTTAAATTTTTAATAAAGCATTGAAACTCGGCCTTAACTCGTTCAGGTGTTACATATATTTGAATTGGAAAAGAACGCCAACTGAAATAGTAGTCTATAGCAAACATAAAAGTGGCCCTTATGTTGGGTCATTAGTAAAAGGTTTTGAGACATGCACCATAGTCTGTCAAAATATCCGCGGACATTCACCTCTGTGTCAAACTGGTTCTTGGACATTCGCCACTCTGTCAAAATTTCCCCGGGTGAAACGGTTTGTATACAACTCACTAAGAAATTTTATTACAATTTATAGACTTTTATAGAATTGGATATGATTGTGTACACCGTAATATAACGATATAAAGGGTGTTTTACAAATGTGTATAATATTTGGTAAAACTTTATACAATCATATACAGGGGCATGTATACCTTTTAATAAAATCTAATACAATGTATATAAAATAAACGTGCCATGTATAAAGCGACGTATATTAGAGCATCGTTGTACCTCACGCATGTATACAGCCACATACATGTGAATAAATGCCACCTTGCCCTACATTAGAATGTATACAGGCACATACACTCATACAGTGACTAGTAACGTTTCTGGGCACTCCCCTAAATGTAGGCAAAATGTGGTTGAGTTCTAAAATGCAGCATAACTTGTAAACGGCTACACATAGGGAAGTGAAACAACCACAATCGTGCTCAGGGCAAAAAGATGATTCGGAAAACATATTGGAGGCAAACGACAGCCATGCACTCAGGCCGCTTCTCCCGTGAGTAAATTGAAATGCTCAAGTATACATTGTATAATATTTTATAAAAAGGTATACTGACAAAGTAATACAGTTTTACCAAATGTAATACAATTACCTTTATACAGCTTTATACAATTGCTTGTATACCTCTGTATACAAACTTACTGTCAATGTTTTTTCACCCGGGTCTGTGGACATTTTGAGTCTTTGTCACATTTTATTTCAACATGAAATTGGTGAATGTCCCTTATCTCCTCTGCTAATGCATGTTAACCACACAGGGTAACAGTCAAAATGTAACATATCATAAAAGGAACACCGTATTTGAAATTTACAGCCATACGACGCGTCCTACGAACAAAGTTCGATCTCCTGGCGCGCCGTTCAACGCTGTCCGATCTCCTTTTCGGGGTTTGCAGCGAGGTGGAAGTTTAAACGCCTCGTACGTCTGTTCGTCAAGATCATATCATTTTATTATTGGTCCAATGTGTTGCGTAATCTATGAGGATCTCATAGAATTTATTAGTTTCCTTTTAAGTGAACTATCAACGAAGATATCACGGCTTGAAGCCTACGGTGCAGATAAAAGCTGAAAAGGAGATCAGACAGCGTTGAACGGCGCGCCAGGAGATCGAACTTTGTTGAACGGCACGCCCGGAGATCGGACAGTGTTGAACGGCGCGCTGGGAGATCGAACTTTGTTCGTAGGACGCGTCGCATAGGTTGAAATTACAAACCTATAATTTTTTTTCTCTGTTAAACTTTGATTTTTGGACATACGCCACTTTCTCTGGAAACCCAAGTGTGTACATGTATGCAGTAAATACTGCGTACATGAAGGTTTTAGTATTTACTGCGTACTTGGCCATGTATTCAGGAAATAGTGCGTACTTGGCCATGTATTCATTATTTACTGCGTATTTGCTTGAGTACGCAGGAAATAATGAAAACATGAGTAGGTAGACAGAAAACAAGGGCTACCTTAGTCGCTGCCACTATATTAATGCGGGGAATACGAGGGGTGGATAACTCCCCTGCCAAGTGTACACCCCTAATTCTGCCCAATTCAAACTAATTCAGACCAATTCAATTTAATTCAAACAAATTCAAAACAAATTCAACAAATTCAGTCCAATTCAAGACAATGTTCAGTCAATTCAAGCCAATTCACGCTAACAGTGTACGCACTATTTCCTGAATACATGGCCAAGTACGCAGTAAATACTGAATACCTTCATGTACGCAGTATTTACTGCATACATATACACACTTGGGTTTCCAGAGTTGTCAAAATTTGCCAAATGTAAATCTGTCCCTGATCTCATTCAAATTTGCGTCCGGTTGAGATGTGCACGAAAACGCGTTATTCTAGAGGCAATCAAAGTAATGTCAGATTTTTTTCAGGGTTGCCATGCGTCAGAATAGTCAGAGGATAATCAGGATTTTGTCAGGATTTTAAAAAGTTGTCAGGATAATCAGGATAATGTCAGGATTTGGGGGTAAAAGTGTCAGGATAAATATTTAGTATCGGTTATCGCCGAGAGGGCAATAACTCCGGGAATCATGGGTACATCTGCCTGGAAATCATCAGGATAAAAATTAATCGACATCACCAGAAATCGTTTAAACTAAGTGGAAACTAATGAAACTGATACAAATTATTCGAAATAAGCGTTTTCTACCACTAGAAGACCTAAGGAATGAATGTAAGTGGACTGGAATCACTGGGAATCACATATTTCGGGAATCATGTGTACACACCAAAAGGGAGTTATGGCCCCTCGGTTATCGCCCTGCTGCTCGGAGCTACTTCGGCCAGCAGCGCGGCGCTGTGGTAGCGCGCCACTCTGATATATTTACCTGAAAAAAATACCCTATGTTTTATTCTACACTCGTGAGCAAAATTAAAGCGCCACGGCCTAAGACACTAGGTGTCCACTCCGGGCGAGAAAGCCGCGCCGTTTGCTGGGAGCGTATAGGCGCTCCCTTCCAGAATGGACACCTAGTGTCTTAGGCCGTAGCGAATTTCACCAGGAAGCAATCGGAGGAGGTGTCTGATTCCACGCGCCCTTCAAGATGAAGGTCGGGCACACCTTTTGACGGGCGGGCCAAGTCGGCCACCCCACGCGTTCACCCGGTACAACCCCCTAAAGTAGGGGTTGATTTTGCCAACCCCGATCACGTTTTGGCAATTCTGCGAGAGTTTCCATGGATTTTTGGCGTGGAATGCCTTCAGTCTTGTCCAGGATGACATTACGAACAAACCCAGACACTGGCGCACCCTTCCGAACCCCCCAGTGCCCGTCAAGGGGCCTAACTGCACCAAGCGTTAAAAAGTGCCGTAAATTTGATGAAAAAAAACGTTTTTGGGTTCCGTTTTTGGCTGTTTTGAATGGCAGGGGCGTTTATCAGTCAATCTGATTATTGTCACGAAAAATTTGACTCAGAAAAATGCGTTTTAGGGGCGGATCCAGAAAGTGGGGTTGAGGGGTGGTAGCTATCGGTAGGCCTGGGGTGGTTCGAGGGGGCGAAAATCACTGCTATCCGGTAGGGGACATTGAAACATTGAGCCCACGTCACACGGCGACCGCCGGCACTCAATTTTACCCAAGGGGCCGTCTTTAAATGATCAAATCTTGATTCGTCAATTAAGGGGTGGTTAGAAAGGGTTGGAAGTTCGCAAGGGCGGTTTTTTGACACGGCATTATGTCGGCTGTACCTAGGAGAGTACTCCTCTAAATTTTCAGCCGAATCCGACCCCCCAATCCGTCAGGGGAGCGTCACAAAGCAACCTCTGTTTCCTAACCGCACTGCGAAGTGGGGTGTCGCGATGCGTTAGGCCCCACAACTCGCGAACCGTTCGTGATCAAGGTTTGCGCTTTTAGGGGTCTGATGCCAACATATGAGCCTATCTTCCTGCCAAACGGCAACCTCCTACCTAATCACACTTCAAAATTACGCCCTGTCAAAAAAGTGGCGCTTTAATTTTGCTCACGAGTGTATATCCCTCAAAAATAGCGCTACTTCGCTTTCAATCTTTTTTGTTTGTCAGCAGGCTTCTGGCTGGCGTGTGACTCGTCAGGCCCACCGGTCGACCACATCTCGTCGCTGCCGAGTCGACAAAGAGAACTACGAGCTCCTGAAAACGCTAGACGATCAGGACGCGGTAGCCAGCATGCATCCTTTTGAATGTCCAGTTTGCCTACAAGACTACCAGGCCGGTGAAGGCCTCGTCCTCAAAGGCTGTCTGCACGTATTTTGTAGGTAAGAGACGCTTCGCGCTGCTAAATGCAGTAAAGTGATTTAACCCATCAAAAAAAAAAACCAACAAAAAACGAGACAAATTCGTGTTCAACGCGAGAAGGAACGTTCGTTTTTTTGGGGGTGGGGGGAGAGTGTCCTTACTATTTTGCGGTTTTTAGTCCTTTTTCTACAACTTATTGTTCACTTTGGCAATTTCTAGCTTATTTTCGTCAAAAAAGACGCTCTAGCGCCTAAACGGTCAGAGATGAAACGAAATTTTCGCCCGAAGGGCTCTACTTTGACGAGTTACCCCATAGGAGAACAGAAAACAAAATTACTTTTGGGGAGAATTTTTGAACCTTATGGATACCCCCATTCACACCCGGCGGCGGTGGTGGGGCCTGCGGCCCGACCATTTCTGTCACGCGATTTGCTGAAGAACATAATCAAATGATGTAACGAGCTTTCGGCCCACAAAGCCCATCGTCCTTAAAATTTACCACGGAGTTGCCGGCGGAGCGAAGTGGAGCTGGCAACTCCGTTTGGCGGAAGGGCGGGCCTGCTTGTTAGTGTCAGGTGAGGGTGATTTTACATAAAAGAACTTGGAATACTAGTTGTTAAGGTGTGACCTTGTAAAATTACCACAGTTTGTAAATTTACAGAACACTGGTCAAAATAACTCCCTAACATTTATGTAAAAATATTTCCTAACATTTTTGTAAAAGTCTTAGCATACCTTTCCTGAAATTTCTTTCACATTTTTCTGGGGTAATGTATACGATAACAGCAAGAGGAACGAGCAGGCCCGCCCTTCCACCAAACGCAGTTGCCAGCTCCACTTCGCTCCGCCGGCAACTCCGTTCGGCAGGGGCCGGGCCTGTTTTTAGCCCGCCCTTCTGCTTTGAAAAAGCTATCCAGCGGGCTTATGCAAACGACCTCGTGTCTGTGTGTCTGTGTGTCTGTCTGTCTGTCTGTGTGTTCCACAAGAAGGAGATGTGCTAGAGACTTCAAATTTTCAGGGGATCTCAAGGTTCACTCCCACAAAACAAAACGCCTACGGCAAATCCTGTCAGCCACCCCTAAGGGGCTGAAAGGGGGTATGGAAGAAAACAGGAAAGGCCAAAAAGGTTGGAAAAAATATATTTTTTTTTATGATCTCCTAAGAGGTAACTTGTCAAAGTAGAGCCCTGTGGGCGAAAATTTCGTCCGTTTTGCTCTATCTCTCACCGTTTGGGCGCTAGAGTGAGTTTCTCTCACAAAACTGGCCCAAACATAAATTTATTAATTTTCGAAAATATTGGATGGTCTCCTAAGAGGTAACTTGTCAAAGTAGAGCCCTGTGGGCGAAAATTTCGTCCGTTTTGCGCTGTCTCTAACCGTTTACGCGCTAGAGGGTCTTTTAAGACGAAAATAAGCTAAAAATTTCCATAGTGAACAATAAGATGTAGAAAAAGGCCTAAAAACCGCAAAATGGAAAGGAAACTTTCTCCCACTCCCAAAAAACGTTTTCTAAGCGGGTGTCAGCGCCGCAGGCCTAGCTATATGTGCGCCAGGCGCGAGGGGTGAACATCTCGTGTATTCCTCTGTCCCGGGGTCATGTATTACTTTGTATTACCTGATATTACTTGTATTCCGTGTATTACTTTGTATTACCTTGTATTACCATGTATTACCATGTATTACCTTGTATTATTTTGTATTACCTTGTATTACCATATATTACTTGCGCAATATTTCGCAATATTAACTTGTATTACGTTGTATTACCTTATATTATTTGAATTACCAAGTATTACTTGTATTACTTGTATTACTCGTAATACCTGTAATACCTTGTAATACCTTGTAATACCTTGTAATACTTCGTAATACCTTTGTAATATATCTTGTAATTCATTGTAATACCTTGTTTTACCTTATAATACTTGTAATACTTTGATATTATCTGTAATACTCGTAATTTTTGTATTACTCGTATTCCCAATATTACTTTGTAATATATTCATCTGTCCCCGGCTCAGCCGAGTTGTTCACCCCTCGGCCAGGCGCGTCGCAGCGTAACAGTGTTTCGTGAGATATCGCGAAGCCTCTTACGCGAGACGTGGTCTTTCGTACATATAGCCAGTTTAACAGTATAGATCTTTCGTCCATCAATGCGGTAAAGATTTGCACAGAAATGCGACTTTCTCGGGACAGAAAAAGGCCCTCAGGTTTAGTGTAGTGTATTTTAATCCCGTTAATTTCTTTTGTGCTTTTGTCTTATTTAGGGACTGCCTCAAAAATACGGTAGAGCACTCGACGGACGCCTCGATCAAGTGCCCGTTCCAGGATGACCAGTACAGCTGCGAAAGCATTATTACTCAGCGAGAGATCAGGACCGTACGTACATTTCCAATGGTGGTCAGCCCTACACTCTAAGCGGGAAAGGAGAATTTTCTACCCAGCGTGGGTGCGTTCTTCAGCACATCTCAATTGGATTCAAATTTGTCTCTTAACTAAACATTGTCTTTTTAGATACAAATTTGAAACTATTGGAGATGTGCTTAATTGCTTAAGAAGGCATCCTCGCTGCATACAAAATTTTCTTTTTTCATTTAGAGTGTCCCTTGCTATTCATCGTGTACAAACCTAGGAAGGTTATGAGTTCCTACGGATTTTTTCAAACAGTTGGTGCCGGAAAGAGTATTTGACCAATACTTGGAGCGCTCTGTGAGGCAGGCGGAAAGCGGTATGGACAATACGTTTCACTGTAAGACACTGGACTGCACTGGTTGGTGTCAGTTTGAGCCTGGAGTCAATCAATTCTTCTGTCCCGTGTGTAATCGTGAAAATTGTCTTCAATGTCAGGTAAATAAAGCACACTAACAAAGAATATGACAGCAAAGGCAGTTTCCTGAATTTTACGACCCAGTCTGTTGTCAGTGGCGTTCTTCAAGATCCACGACAGGGTCGTGGAATTCAAGAAACTGTTTTAACCGAGCACGGTGAAATACATGTATTCCACAGGAAATCGATCTTTTATAACAAAACAGTGAAAATGTTAATGCAATATTAACTTAACATTCTATTCAATAGCGGTCGAATGTGATGACTACACTGATAAACCAAGTGCTCAACTGCTCAACACTTGTAAGTGTGCACCCGCAAGTTCAACACTTGCAAGTCTTTAATTAAGTTGTAGTACACTTGCAAGTGTTCAACTCGGTATTTGTTCTCTTGTAAGTGTGCAACTCCTCTGTTGAACACTTTCCTCACAGTAAGCACCCGGTTTAGTGAAGTGTTCAACAGGAGAGTTAAACACTTACAAGTGCACAAATACCGAGTTTAACACTTGCAAGTGTACTACTACTGAATTGACCACTTGCAAGTTTTGAACTTTTGGTTGCACACTTGCAAGTGTTGAGCAGTTGTACACTTGGCTTATAAGTGTACATTTTATGGCAACTGTACGTAGGAGTACGTGCAGCAGCCCGTAGTGGCTGAGCGTTTGTCAGTGTGCTAAAATTCTCAGAGGTAACGTTTTAAA